CAAGTGCCTGGATGGCTGAGCCTTGCAAAATGAATCTCAAGGAACCAATTTCAGAGGCGGTCCTTCTCAAGCAGTGCTCTGAGGCAGTCTTCTCTAAAGCTGTCTTTCCCTTTTGCAGTGAGAAGAGTGGGGTCGTCTTGTTTCCCAGGATGCACTCAAGGCATGCTTGCTATCATCTGGACTGAAAGCACTTGGCTTCTTTTTAATCTTTTCAGCCACCAAGTTAACCTCAGCCACACTTTATAGGCTCTAACTTTACAGAAACTTCCTTTCTGGCAAAACTCAAAACTTTTACATCATTCAGCTATGCTGTCTAGATTCTCAATGTAAAGCAGGCTAAAAGCCTCCAACAGTACCACTGCCACAGCCTTAATACTGCAATTTCCTCCACCAGATTAATTTGTCCACTGCCCTTCATCTCAGTCTAACTCAAAGTCTCAGGACATAAGCAAAATGTAGATGAATTTTCTGCCACAGCATAACACACATGACCCAGAGTCCAACTGCCAGTGGAGTCCTTGTTCCCAACTGAAATTTCCTGTGTCTGGTCTTTACCTTCTGCCTTTTTACCAGCATTATGGTCTTCTGAGCTCCAACCAGTATCACACATCAAGTTCAGTTTACAGAATTCTATGGGTGCTTCTCCAGGTAACATCTCTGAACATTTCCAAACTCCTCCCTGAACCAGTTCTAAAGGCTTCTAAACCACATGATCAGATATACTCCCAGCAACAACTCCACTCCTGATACCAAAATCTGTCTTGATCACTTTCCATGTCACTGAGACAAAATGCCCCATATTCACAATCCAAAGGAGAATAAATTTATTTTAGCCCAATAGATAGTATTTAGCATTGTTAATGTTGCTGTTAGGAGATGGGATCTGGTCAGAGAAGGCAGGTGTTATGATCAGGGTTTGCAAGGGAATAGATTGACTACAGAACATATAATTTATAGGATTATTTTATAATAGTCACCCAAAAAGTCAAATGTAGAAGAGTGTAAGAGACTAAGAGGAGATTTAGCCACACACTAGAAACCCAGGGGGCTAGATTCCACAGCAATGTCCTGCACAAGTTCAGCTGAAGGCCTAGAGTCCAGGGCAATGTTCATGAGTCCAGCCAGTGGCCTAGAACCCACTGCGATATCTCATGCTTGTATATATTGAGGATCTTCACCAGGAAGACCAAAGGCCAGTGGTAGAAGTTAAAAAGCCTCTGCCAGCAGGGCGAAGGATTTGTGCCACCAGGCTGAAGGATCTACACTGGAGCCAAGAAGTGATGCTCATGGCAAATATCAGAGCTCTCCTGAGAGGACAGCAACCATTCCCAGCCACACTGAGGATCTGAGCTCCTCCTACAATGACAGAACAGCCAAGTTCGCATCAGGAAAACCACCCATGGAAGATTCCCCACTAAAATGAATAGCCAACGATCTTCCCTTCCAGTTCTCTTTTTATCCTTAGGTGGGTCTCCAATGCCCTAACTGCGTTGATTCAGTTCAGTGGGGCATTCCAAGTTGACCATAAATTAATCCACCACAGCAGGTCACTGGAGGCATGACTTGGAAGAATACATCTCTTTTCCTAATTCCTCCCTTGGCTCTTGGTTTTCCAGATACTACATGGTGGGGTGAGCAGCTTTCCTTTGTGGCAGGCCCACCATGTCTTGTCAACCCTGTAACCTGCCAACTATGGACTAAAACTTCTTAAAAACGTGAACCAAAACAAACCTCTCCTCTTTTAATTTGTTGGTGTCAGGTATTGAGTTCTAATAATGATAAAGTGGCTGAGACATACATATTCTCAAAGTATGTCATAAAAATTGACCTATAGGTGAGCTTTCTCAACTATTTTCGGTTAATTAGCTCTGCCTTCTTGAAGATGCCTTTGAAATAAGTTCTTCCTCCAGATATCAACCATTTAACAGTCTCTCACCACTTCTCCTTGGACAGACGTAGATATGAAATGGTCATTCTGATATAGTTCATTCTGCAGCATTACAAAGTCATAACTCTATTGCAAATTTAAGGATTTGGGTACTTGTGATATTACTAATATCATAGGGATCACAGTGGAACCTTTAGGGGATACAAAGGTCTACTTGAGACAAATGGAGTAATCTACTATAAGCTGTTAACCTGATTTCCTAACTATGCAGTTAAAACTATTCCATTACAAATATGATAGCATAATTTTGACACTAAGTGCTTTTCATATTAAGTTCCTAGACATAGACAGCTAAGACAATACTAGAGTGTGAATTCCTTATTAATTCTATCTCTTTCTGTACTTCTGTTTATGTGTGATATTTTTAGGGGGGAGTCACTGTCCTTTATATATGTATGTTTAGTACTATCCAAAAGATATAATTCTAGAGTTTCTTGTGTCAACTGTCTGCCTCTCTACATTTTGGGATGTTTTTAGGCCATCATATCTCCACCACTTCTTCACACTGCAATAGCAGCCACATTACCAAACTCTTGTTTTCAGTTCTCTCAAGTGTAAAAAAACGTGTGTGTGTGTGGGGGGGTTAAATTGTAATCAATCAAGCTGTCATGTGCGAGGTTTAATGAGCAAATATACAAATTGGTTTGGCCCAGTGGCTGACACCAAGCAAACATTAAATAAACATTATTGTTACCATTAATAACTATAGAGTAGGGGGTGCTGACTTCCTCATAAAGTACTATGGAGATATTGTCACAGAACCACAACCCATACTTAAGAGACTTTTAGGGTTGATGGGAAGGGTCTTAGATTTTAAAAATATAAATCCCTTTTTTAATTGAATTTATTGGTACATTTTAGGTACACAGTACAGTTACATTCATTATTGGGATCTTGTACCTTTACATGATAGGTCTTGGTTCTCATTTTTTCCCCTTGTCCCTGCCCTCCCTTCACCCCCTCCTACCCTCCCCATTCACAAACACTTTATTTCCATTTTTCATTTTCTCATATTTTTTCGTTTCCCTTATTACCTTGCTCCTGCCCTTCCCACTTTCCCTATACCTTTAGCCCTTTTCTTCCTATTTCACAATGTCAATTATCTCACTATAAATCCCTTTTTTAAATAACAGCTAACATGTATTGATCACTAGCTGACAAGCAGGAATTGGGCTATGCACATTTAAACATAATTTCATTTCATTTTAACTAAGATACTGTGAATAATTAAATTTACCACAGAGATATTAAGTAATTTATCAAAGCACCCTCTTTAGAAGCAATTCAGCTTGGATTTTTAAACTGCTTAGAAATAAATATTCTTATGTACTTGATTTAACTAAGCAACAATGATTCTCATACTTTTCTTTATAACAATGCTTCTCAGGCTTTTTACATGTGCAGCAACCATCAAATGAGAAAACACTTTAGTGATGCTAGCACTCTGGATTTTAATAACCAATACAATTGGGAAAAAAGGGATGAGTTGGTATTTTTAGACTGAATGTAGTTTTATGGGGGAAAAAAAACTATACCACTGTTGATAATTTTCTTTTCCTAAGGATTAATACAAATTTCAGATGAACAAAAAAAAGATCCAAGAACAAGAGTGTAGATTTTCTGACTCCTTGACAAAATGTTTTATTCATTTCTTTAGAAAAAGTGTTTACTTGATAAAAAATGTATACAGATGCTCTTTGAGGATGTTATACTGCACAAAACCCAGCACAAATTGAAAATATTTTAAATAAAAATGCACTTCATGTTCCTGACCTAATGAGTAACCTAACTTATCAACATAATACAGTGTACAGTAAAAAATATTTCACCTCACTGCATCCTGCTCTGGGAGCTGTGGCTTGGTCCTTCTGCTAAATATAAGAGTAGTTTACCATACAGTGCTAGCTCTGGAAAAGACCAAAATTCCAAGTACAATTTCTCCTGATTGTCTTCAGACCATCGTAACTTGAAAAACTGTAAGCTGAACCATCACAAATCAGGGACCAGGTGTATGCATTTACAGAGTACAGCACAATGGTCCAAACTATGTATACATTGTGGAATGGCTAAATGAAGTAATTAAAATATGCGTTCACTCACATATTTATTTATTTATTAATTTATTTTGGTTTTTTATTTTTTGTTTTTTGAGAAAGGGTCTCACTATATAGTTGAGACTGACCTGGAACTCACTATGTAGCCCAGGCTGGTCTCGAACTCACAGTGATCCTCCTGCCTCAGCCTCCCGAGTGCTGAGATTACAGGCATGCACCACCATGCCCGGCTATTCCTTAATCTTTTTGTTGGTGAGATACCAATATGTTCATCAATCAATACAAATCAGAATTGTATTATGAGGGCCATATTACTTTTTAAACATTACTTAATGTCGTTTTCATTCATTTGTCCTTTATTTGTTCTACTCTCTGTAATACCACACAATGTATTGATTTCTCACATAATTTAAAGATGGGAGATTCAAATGGATTACTATGTTTCATTGTGATTTATACATCTGAGAGTATCCCAGCTCCTGGAGAGAAAGGACCTTTTCTACATGTGTATCTACATGTTTGATACACAATGCCTGGTAGACAGTATGAACTAAATTTGCTAAATGAACAGTGTTCAATATTTAAACAGGTGTTATCACAATTTATAATACCCGACATATTTCATATTCATCTATATCGTTACATATCCATGAATATAGAACATGTATAGCTCTCTAGATAGTTCATTATACTTAAAATATTCAAAAATTCTAAGTGACTTTATTTTGAACAGTATAAAATGTTACACCTACTCATTTTTACATAGTATTTTGGATAACCTGTAAACTTGTAACATTTCCTCAAACTCTACTTAATAAAGCCATTTGCCACAAAAATAATTCCAAGACCAAGGAACACTGTACAATGAGAAACTTTGGAAATTGGAGACAGGCAAACAGATTTATGTGCTTTTTACCCATTATGAGGTCTTGTTTTACTTATTTATTTATTTTGTAATTTAGAGTTTAAATAAGGTAGCAAAAGAAAAGAAAACCCACCTAAGTCGGAAGGACGGCTAAACTCGCCAGAAGCCCGGCCCTGGGAAGACCTCCAACATCCCAGCATCCCTCGCGCTGGTCCGGTAGCTCTTCTCCCTAGTCTCTATGGTTGTGCCCCGGACGCAAGCGGTGGTGGCGGAAGCCGCTGAGGACGCGTGAGGTTTCCAAGTTACCCACCGTACTTCATCTGTGAGGTAGTGGGCTTGGAGGGTAGCGATGTCAGAGAAAAAGCCTCCGGTAGATTTGGGTCTCCTAGAGGAGGACGACGAGTTCGAGGAGTTCCCTGCCGAAGGTAACCGACTGCAGCTTCCCGGGCTTCTGTACGGACGGTGACTCGGGCCTTCAGGTGGAGGCGGTGCGGCCGCTCAGGCCTCCCGGGGTGGGCGCCCCCAGGAAGTCTGCACCGAGGCGGCCGGCTAGTTAAGCTCGGACGCGCGACTTCCCTTGGGCCTCGGCCTCGGCTCAGGGTGTCACAGTAGGAAACGCTGGAAAGGTGCAGGGTGAACTGGGCCCCAGCCTGGGGTCGGAGATGTCTCATTCCTTTCTCCACTCGTCAGCTAGTTGCCCCTCATCTCGTACTTGTCCGCATAGCCTATTTTACTTACTGTCCTTTGCCTTGAATTCTTTTAAAAATGAAATCGTTCTTAGCTATACCAGTGCTGCTTCCTTCTAGGGCGTTACAAATGAAGCCTGAGTAGGATGCGAGGCTCACGTGTTGGGTACCTAATAATAATAGTTTTGCCCTACTCTTGTTTCTCACCGTTTTTACTGTTTTCAGGCGAACGTTAAGTTTAGAGTTTGTAAGACCCTAAAACTTCTACATTTTTACTAACATTAACAAGGAGGAACTTTAGTTTTCCTACTATAGATAGTATGTGGTTATTGGCTGCTCTGTTCTCATAAATTTAAGTGGTTTGCTTGAATTGACATATTCCATATAGGAAATAGATACTAGTGTTGTTATTTTTCAGGAAGAAACTGAAGCTTGGAGCAATTAAGAAACAGGCCTACGAAAGTCTCCTAACTGGCTAGAGATGATGAAACTGCAGTTGGCACCCCTGGCCTGATTGACACCAAAGCTCTGTAATTGCATTGCTTCTACTTGTTAGATTGCCTTTGCCTGTTAGAGTTTCAGAATTGACTACTTTCCTGGTTGTTTCCAGTAGGATTCCTGTTACTTATCTTATGAGAAAGTAGGATTACTATTGGGTAGTCTAAGGTGATAGGAAGAGATTTCTGGCTAGAGGCATACACGTGAGTGCTTCACTAACGTTGTCCTAAGTTGTATAGCCCACCATGATTTCATCATGTTTAAAATCATACAGCTGGAGCATTTGTTCTGGTTTTTTTTTTGTAGTGTACTCAGTTCTTTTGTTTAGAGGAAGACAACATTGGCATGCGTAATACTCAGCACTTAAAACTTTATTTTTTGAGTATGAAATTCATAATATTAGTCTTTTTGGTTTTTTTAAATCTTCAGTTTTTTTATTCAACTTCACTTTCAAGTCAGTTCATGATCCTCTAAATTGGAGCTATGTTGTAGAAAATTGGCTTATTGAGGGCAGGATCATATACTCCCAACAACATATTTCAGATACCATTTATTATATAAGGCATTTATATACATTTTATAGTCTAATTAACATCACTCTGAGGAAATAAGCTCAGAGATTTTAAAAAATAAAAACAAACTCACCATATCCTGTCATATCAGAAAGGTTTTTCTGATTCCTGATCCAAATTTTGCTTATATTTAAGAAAGTGGCTGACAATGTGATAGGTGGTCAGTAAAACCTTAGTGAATCCACATTTAAAATAAGTAGTTGAGAACTGACTACTTATAGAGGATCAATATAGATAACTCTACTTGACAATATACTTGATTTTACTCAGCAGTTTTGATCAGCTTTTGTAGTGTGTGTAGTTTGTCCTCATGCTGATTTTATGTTGTAAACTGCAATTTGTTCAAAAGTTATTAGTTGCATAGTAAAAAAATTCTCATTAAGGTTAAAAGGGAAAGTGAAGAAAAAAAGTTTTTAATACAAAGGACTTACAGTAGAGTGGGTTTATTAGTATTGAGTAACTCACTGTTTATTGATCTCCCAGAATATTTTCTTTTTCCTTATAGAATATTTTAATGTGTAGAACCTAATTCATTTAGGAAACTTTCCATTTAGAATGAGAAGTAACATCTGAAATGCCTTTATTTTGTTTCTCTATATTCTCTAGTTTTCATTTAGCTAGGTTTTCCTCAATTTGAATTAGTGAGAGTTTGCTAGATACAAAACTGGGTAAAACCATTAAATATTTACTCGTGAAAACTGTTCTGATCCAATAGGGGAAAAAGCAACCTTGGAAAAGTAACACCAAAGAATTATTTATCTGTTTTTGACACTTACACATTTTCTTTCATATCTTGTTCTAGTCATGTTGTAGAGTCTCTGTTGCTACTCAACCGATCAGCAGCAGTGTTGGCCTTGTGAAGGAGCCTGTTAGAAGCACAGCATCCTATTTCTCAGTCTAGATCTACTGAATAAGTCTGGTTGGAATTCCGCAAGATCCCTGAGATGTGTATGCACAATTAGGGTTTGCAAAGCACAACTTTAAAATGGTGGACAATTTTAAATCTTTGAATTTTTCGTTCATTTAATGCTCTGATTTACTAAGCACAACTTTAAAATGGTGGGCAATTTTGAATCTTTGAATTTTTAATTCAATTAATGCTCTGATTTGCTTATAAATTCTTTCCTGTTGCAAATGTTCTTTTTCTTATGGTGAATATACCATTGATAAACTCATAGAGTTTAGATAAACTCATAGAGCACTCAAAGTGCTCTTATTAAGGCAGTGTATTATTATCTTTGCATTCTATACGAGTCTTTAAAATTTTCAGAGGTCTTTTTAAGTCTCAGGATGTTCTAAAGAAGGGATGCTGATCACACTCTGGATAACTTGCAGTGTAGAGCCCTCGTGAAAGTTACTGAAATTGTGTATTAATGGTTTGACTTTTGGGTTGTCTGTCTTTTGGGAGTGTTGTCGGTACACTTCATCCAAGGTGAGAACATATTTGATAGGCTGTCAATTTAGTGACTTTAAAAAAAGGGAATTTTTACTTTCAAAAGGATGCTAAGATAATATGTCTTCATGGAAGCACCATTGTTTTATGTGAATAGCTCTCCTTTAGTATGAAGTATAACATTTGGAATGACTCTCTGAAGGTACAAAGGAACAGATCCTCCTTTTATTCCCTCTCCCCCATGATTTAGTCTGAATCTATTAGATTGGTAATTTCTCACAATTATAACTTAAAAAATCATGAGTAAGATTTTTAATTCTCCAAATTCTTGACTAGTTAGACTGAGTGAACAGCTTTATTAGGAAGTCATTCAAAGTCCTGGGCATGAATGATTTTGACATATTTTTGTAGGCTTTAACATGGTTAGAATTTTAGAATCAGACAGCAGCTTGGTCTGGAGATTTTAATTTTCATTCACATACATTTCAGTTTGTGTTATTGGAGTGGTGTTTTAATTATGAGGCACTTCATAATTTATTTGAAACTTTGAGTACTTTTTTATATTACACAGATATTTTAAGATTTTATTTCCTTTCTTTGACAAGTAGACATGGGTTAGAGTAAAGAGAAGAAAACAAGTAGTTCTTTAGATTCTTTTCTTTCTGTGCCAGAGGTGAGAGGCTTAATTTTCTTTGCTTTTTCAGAATATTTAAAATGAAATCAGGTTTCCCTACAGGAGCAATTGTATTTCCAAGAGTATGCTATTATACTAAATATTCTGTAAGCTTTCTATAACCTGTGAAACTGCTATATACTCTGAGGAACTCAGGAGCAGAGTACTGCCCGTCTCTTCATCCCACCCCACCTTGAGAAATTCTTAGGTAAGACAGTGCTGTCATTGGGAAGGGCATGTTTTTTGAGGAATACCAGAGGCTGGTGATCCTCTAATGCTACCTGTGTTTGAGAAGAACTGAGGAACTGTCATCTGTGCTTAACAAAGTAGGATGTTTTATAGTGGTCTAAACACTAGAGAAATGTTTTGAGGATATTACAGACACTTGACAGGTTGGGAGTGTGAAAAAACTGCCGGCATTTAGTGGAAAGAAGCCAAGGATTTTAAATGGATAGAAGCCAAGGATTCTTAGTTTTGCATATGAAAGAATTGTCCTGGGAAGAATGCCCTTGAGAAATATTTATATGAATATTATGTACACACTGGTGGACTAATTACCAACAGAAAGATTCTTTAGAATTTTAAATGCAGAAGGTAGACAGGCCCAATATTGACTTTTTCAGTTACTGTGCTAGTCAGTTTACTAAGGCCAAAGGAGGCTTCACTGTTGACATTATTAAATGTAATATAATGTATATAAATGATATCAAACATATAGGTTAGTCACAAAATGAAGCAAGAAATGGAAAACTCATGTCATAATACTTGCAAAGAAAACATGTAATGAATGACTGAGTACCTATTAAATGCCCATTATTGGTAATTACATGCAAGAAGAATGTTTATAGACCCCAGGATGGAATAAACCTTATGAATATAGTTTCAGACCTATGTTTAAATTTACCATTCAGAAACTTTTATGTCAACTCATGCTAATTACTTCTTTAAAAGTATATAGGCAGAGGGCCAAGGGTTTAGCTCAGTGGTACCACACCTGCCTCACAAACACAAGGTCCTGAGTTCTATCCTCAGTACCAAAAAATAAATAAAGTATATACGCTGTTTGTACAAGTAACAGCTTAAAGAGTTGGAATATGTGAAAGAATATGTATTGAAAAGTGAAATCACTGTTTGCCCTACTTTCCCTCCCCAGAATTTTTCATGCTGTATTGGTAACCACTGTTGTTTTTGTTGTTGTTGTTTATTTTTTTGTTTTTTTCTGGTATTTTTCCAAATTTATATGTGAATTGTGCTTGATTGCATTATCCTTTAAATGCACAGAAGACCATACTGTACATACTGTTCTTCTTGTTTTTTATATATCTTAGACATGATTTTGCATAAATGTAAAAATCTTCCTTGTGCTTTATTATATACTGCACATGTTCAATAATCTATTTAACTTGTCTCTCATTGGTAGATATGTGAGTAATTCTTATTTTTTGTGTGTTTTCATATTACAGAAACTGCATGATTTACATCTTTTAACATGTTTTTGTGCTTACCTATAAGATAAACTCTTACAGAGGTAATTGCCAGACCAAATTTTTTTTTATTTCTTTTAAAATATGCTTATTTTGAAATAATTTCACAATCACAGAATAGTTGAAGTTACATTTTTTTCTCAGAATTATTTTATTCCAGTTAGCTTGTTACTTTCAGAATATTCCTGCTTTCAGACCAAGTGGAATGAACTGGAGAATATACAGGTGTATGTTTATAAAACCTTGAGTTCACACCAGTATATCCATTTCAGTTCAGCACCACAAGGTTTATTTTAGGGTTTTTTTTTTCTTTCTTTCTTTTCCTTTTCACATTTGTGATTCTCTTCTCCAGTAATAAGAAACCTGGCTACAATTATCTTAAATTTTGCCTGTCTGTTCATTGTCTCTATCCAATCCTTGCCACCTCCTCCCTTGAGAGAGGTCTTTTTCATCTCATCTGAGCTCAGCATTCTATGCCAGGCTACAATTTATTCCTTCCTCATTTTAGTATGGATGACTTTTCCATCCTGTCCGAGCTCTGACACACCAACTACACAACTCTGTTCCTCTGTGGCAATGCTGTCTTTGATCAGTTTGGGCTCTGACACTTCATCTGGAACCAGGTGCACTTTAAATTTTAACATACATTCTCAAATTGCCTTTGAGAAAGATTACACCAACTTCATTTCCTTCTTTATGTAATTAACCTTTTTTCTGATGAGCTTGCTTACACAAGATACTAAACATTTTAGTTATTGCCAACCTGATAGATAAAAATGAAATCTGATTTTAATTTCTTTAAAAATTCATCATTATGTTTTTCCATGAATTGTTACCTTCTTAATTCTTAGTTTTCTTTACCTGCAATTTATAGTCATGAAAGGATTATATGATTGTATTAGGCTTTTTGAACTGCTGCAACAAAATGCTTTTGACTGGATAGCTTAAACAATAGAAATTTATTTTCTCACTCAGTCTGGATGTTGGGAAAGCAAAGATAAAGGTATTGGCATACTCAGATTCTGTTTGGGGCTCTTTCTGCCTCCCAGGAGGCTGGTTTCTTGCTGTGTCCTCTCTTGGGTAAGTGAGAGAATAAGCTCGTTTTTCCCCCCGGTACTCGGGATTGAACTGAGGACCTTGGTGCTTGTGAGGCAGGCGCAGTGCCACTGTGCTTAAACATTTAATAAGTTTTTAGTACAAGAAACCTAATCAGTTAACCTACAAATTCAACAAACTTAATTTGGGATATACTCAAAATTAGTGATTCAAATAGTTTCCAGAAATAGTTAAAATTCTAAGTGCTGTCAAACACTATCTAACATGCCAGTTTAGGGTTCAAGAAGAATTGAATAAAAATATACAAGATCTTTTTTTATTACTACATTTGTGTAGCATGTAATCTTTACATTGCTTGTGGGGAATTGGTATATGTACTTAATACATCTTTTTTTGTTTGTTTTTTGAGATGGTCTAACTAGATAGGCCAGGGTGTCCTTGAACTCATGGCAACCCTCTTGCCTCAGCCTCCTGAGTGCTGGAATTACAGGTGTGTACAACCACACTCAGCCACAATAATATTAATTCTGTATTTCATCCCTTCTCCCATCCCCCATTTCTTGATCCTCTTCCTTTAAAAAAAGGAAAAAAAATTGTATGTTTGCAATACAAGATCTTAATATTATGATTTAGAATTATTTTGTGTTTTTCAGAGTCATATTGTGTGTATGCTAAGGTATCATTTGTAATTTAGGGTTATGAAGATAAAGAATGCCTAAGTTTCTCAGACACTAATAATGAGCGTAGATTTAGTAAGTTATAATTGTGACTATACAAGATGCCAATGTTGTGATAAAGATAGGCACAAAGTTTCTACAGGAGGAGATTTTCAGGCGGTTTTTTTAAAAAACTTTTAAAATTTCAAAACAGAGGGCTGGGGATTTAGCTCAGTGGTTCTGCCTGCCTTGCAAGTGCAAGGTCCCGAGTTCGATAGCAAAAAAAAAAAAAAAAAAAAAATTCAAAGCTTTTTAACTACTGATTGATGTAGAAAAGAGGAATACAGACACTTAATTCATAAACAGTTAAACACTCATTTTTGCTCATATGCAATGATAGTATCAAATATATATAAGAACAATTTGTGAGTGAGCCATTAAGTAAATGACAGTTGATTAAAATATACATGCCTTCATTAGGACATTCTCTTATAAAATTATTTCATATTTATGCCTAAGAAAATTAACACTAAGTCACAAATATCTAAAATACAGTCCATATTCAAATTTCACCAGTTGTATAAAACAAACACGTCTCATTTTTCTGCTAGTCCTGTGTTTTCAATTTGCTTGTGTGTCATATCTGGTTGTTGGTATCACTTTTGTCCTTTTAAATCTACTGGTTGCTATCCATTTTTGTTGTTTGATTTTTCATGACACTGAATAGTTATTTGAAGAGTTCAGTTGTAGAAAGTTCCACCTTTTGGATTTATTTGACAGTTCCCTTGTGATTAGATTCAGAATCAATTTTGTTAATAAGAGTATTACATAATTACTATAGCACATCAAGAAACATAAAGCAAGTGGTCCTGATTTATGATGATAATAAATTTGTTTACTGGATTAAAACAGTGACCTCTGTGTCTCTCTGTCTCCCCTTTTGTAATGAATTTATCCTGTTAACCAAACATTTTTGCACCCCATAATTTTAATATCCATCATTAATCCTTACCTGTGTTGCACTGAGGGCTTGCAAAATGGTAATTTTCTAATTCTGTCATTCTTTTCATATTTGTACAGCTGGGGACTATAAAGAAGAAAGAGATTCCCATTTTCTCTCTTTCTGTCAAGTATTGCTATGGATTTTTAAAACTTCAGTGTTGTTCCTTTAGGCCAGTTTCTGGCATTAAAACATTCCTATTTGCCTAGTAAGTTCCATGTCTCAGATTAGAAATTAACCATTTCTTCTTAGAGCCACAGTTCCTCTTAATAGAGGAATGAATGAATGTTTGAACCAAATTCAAGATAAGTAGTTCAAAAGATGGCACAGAAAAAGATGAGGAGCAGGGTAAAATGTTTGATTAGTACAAAATCTTAAGTAGTTTTAAAATATGAATCATAAAGGTAAGGAGCTAAGTAAACAGTGATCTTGTGGATCATTCTTTACTGCAATTTTAACATGGGGGAATGTGTGAGGGAGAGAATTCAAGCCATGTGGCCAACATGAAGTTATCTCAATGGATTTGAATATTAATAGTTATTTTAAAGACATATAGTATAATTGTGTGTGAGTTAAAATGTAAAGCTATGTCAAAACTAGCAAGTGGGTCACCCAAGGAGGAGAAGAGCATTGTATGCTTACTCTCTTGAATCTTGGATAGTTAGTTTGGTGTATTTAAAGTGAGAAGAGATCATAGTAATGTTACCCTGGAGATTAGATTTTGTCAGGATCAAGAGAATAGAAGCAAGAACCTATTAAAGGAATATGACTTTGTATAAGTGAGAAGGGATAATGTGATAGTCTGATCTAGAACAGAGGTAATAGGGATTGAGAAACATTGATTTGAGAATGATGGAGGATGAAGGGGACAGGACTGGGTCATGAATAGAGGAACTGGTGATGACTCACCTGGCACTTAATAAGACTGATTGACTACTTTTGTGATTTTCTTTAGTTAAGGCTAAGAGAGCATGTTGCTTGAGGGTGGAGTAATTGTGGATAATGAGTTAAGTTTTGGTGGTATTGAATTCTACAGTTTAAGGAAGACTTCTGCTATAGTGACAGATTTGAGAATTAGTGTACTACTAAAATAAATCACTCTGAGGCACTGAAGGACGGCATGGACCATAGATGAATTCCTGGTTCAGACAATCAGTTATAAAGAGTTAGTATTCAAGAGCATATGGCAAGGAATATATAGAGACAATTTATGTTTCACTTTGTTTTGCTAATTGGTTTCTGAAATAGAAGTAAAAACTACAGATGTTATAGGAAGGCCATCTAACTGATACATACTTCTTTTCTAATTGTATACCTAGGGCCCTTCTCAATAAGTATGCCTTATTCTAGTACTAGAATGCCTGAAGATACTAGTTTACATTTGCATTTTTTTAATTTTAAACAAAAGCTGAAATTTTATTATAAACCTTCCCTCTACCCAAATGGAATAGAAAAACAAAATTTCGAAAATTAAAAAGTGCAACATTCTACCTTATATGTGTTTATACTTTTCCTTCCTATAAGAATCTGAATTTTATATTGATATTAATAATCAAATACTAGTGATAGGGCCAGGAATTTAGCTCAGTGGTTTCGCCGCCTGCCTTGCAAGCACAAGGACCAGCGTTAGATCCCTGGTACCAAAAAAAAAAAAAAAAAAAAAAAAAAGCCAGTGAAGGCTTATAATGTCTGTATATGTTGTTGTCTTTTTTATGTTGGTATCTACCTGCTACTCAACTTGCTTTATGGCTATTACTGCTGTTTTGAAAGGTTATATAATATACGTTATAAAAAATCAGTTCAAAGAAAAGAACCAGTAACGTAAATAACCTCCAAAAATAGAAGGTTTTCATAGCAAGGGGTGTCTTTTATATGAATGTCTATTTTAGATTATTTGCAAATTCAAGAATTGAGAGAAGGTCCGGGAATTTAGCTCAGTGGTTCGGTGGCCTGCCTTGCAAGCCAAGGACCCGAGTTCAATCCCTGGTACCCCACCCCCCAAAAAAGAATTGAGAGAGCAAGACGGCAGAAACTTTTAGATTTGAGAAGATGCTTTTTTTATATGGGTATGGCATTAGCTGTATTTGAATTGTGAGAGTGTCCAGTGTTTTTTTTTTTTGAGACAGGGTCTCACTATGTACTTGAGACTGACCTGAACCTCACTATGTAGCCCAGGCTAGTCTCGAACTCACAGCAATCCTGCCTCAGCCTCCCGAATGTTGATATTATAGGCGTGTGCCACAATGCCTGGCTGTCCAGTGGTTTTTGTTTGTAGAAATAATATATGAGATACATTGAGACATCTCTTTGTTTTTAGACTGGGCTGGTTTGGATGAAGATGAAGATGCCCATGTTTGGGAAGATAACTGGGATGATGATAATGTAGAGGATGATTTCTCCAATCAGTTACGGTAAGCTGTAAGACAGATTTTTACTATAGCTCAGCATTAATTTTAAGTTTGCAATATGTAACTTACATAGATAATCTGTCGCTTAAAATATGCTTTGTATTATGATATTTTTGTATAAGCAAGATATTACCTTCATCTCCTGGGTTCCTAAACATGAATACTTTGTATAATTGCATACAACTTTTGTTCTTTCTAGTCTTTTGACAAAGGTAGTTAAATAGAAGCATATTTGCTGTTCTTGTTTTTTTTGGTTTAAATTTTAAGTCAGTGTAAATTTTCTACCAAAGGTGGACCCAAAAGATTGGTGATTCTTGAATTGTAGATGAAGATTGTTGAATTGTACTTTTTCATATTCATATAGAAATCTACCTAATTTTTATTTATTGGCAAAATTCATGTAACATAAAATTAATCCTTTTATATTGTGTAATCATCTTTCTGTTTAGCTCTAGTATTTTCAGCATCCCAAAAGAAAATGCTAACCTCATTAAAGCAGTAAAAAGGAATATGTGATCATTGTTTTATTCCTTTTTATGGCTCAGTAGTAGTCCATTGTATGGATATGCCATATTATATTTATCAGAAATAGAATTGCTGGGCTTAATGATAATTCTAGGTTTAACTTTTTAAAGAATTGCTAAAACTGTTTTCTACAGTGGCGGAACAATTTTACATTCATACCAACGATGTGTGAAGGTCCCAGTCTTTTCACATATTCACCAAAATGTTTTTCATTTAAAAAATTACAGCGATAAGTAAAGGGTATGAAATGATATCTCTGGTTTTTATTTTAATTTCCCTAATAACTGACCTTTTCATGTACATGACTATTTGCCTATCTTTGTTTATTCAAGTCATTTTCTTATTTAAAAATGTTATTCATTTTCTTATTAATGAATTGTGAGATGTCTACATGTTTTTGACACTAAAACTTTATCAGATACATGATTTACAAATGTTTTCTTTGTTCCTTCAGACTATCTTCATGTTACTGTCCTTTGCACAAAAGTTTTTTTCTGTTACTGAGAATCGAACTCAAGACCTTGCACTTGAGAAACAGGTGGCAGCACCACTTAGCTAAATCCCCAGTCCCAAAAGTTTTTAATTTTGAAAAAGCATGGTGTAGCTCTTTTTCCTTTTTTCCTGTGTTTTTTTCTGTTTTACTTCTGCTTTTCATGCTTAATAATTCATTGATGAGTTCAAGATAATCAAGTGTTTCCTTAAAAGTTTTATAGTTTTAGCTCTTAAAATTTAAAACTTCAATCCATTTTGAGTTAATTTTTATGATTATGTATGATAAAGGTCTAACTCATTGCTTTCCATGTGGCTAGCCAGCACCATTTGTTGAGTGCACATTTCTTTATCTCCTGATTTTATTAGGATTCAACCCATATTTATCTGTCTTGGCCACAAGGATATGTAGACTGCCACATGCTTGCTCAAATCAAGCTACAGAAGATATATTGTTCAAAAGGGAAGTGAAATAATTAATAATAAATTTCTAAAATTTAATTTTAATAGTGAAACAATATTACCTATTTTATACTACATTTTAAAAATTGATTTAAAACATCTATATTCTAAATTTTTTAGAATTTTGCTGGAGACTGACAATTTACCATCTCCTCATTTTAGAAGTAGTACAATTTACTTTGCACTGTTATTTTGATACCTTTACAATTTCCATGATATTCTTAAAGATTATTAACTCCAGTTGTTTACTTTATCTTTTGATTTTTCCTTGAGATATAATTATTCAAGGGCTTGAAAATTTAAGTTATGTTAGTGCAGTTTAGAGTTACCTCACCTTAGTTTTTAATTTGTCTTTTTGATGTATTTCCTTTTACAGTTTTATATACAAGATAAAAAAACATAGCTGCTGAACAGTAATGCTTCTTCCTTTCTAAAATCTGTGATGTTAAACTATTTCAAGCATTGGACCCATCTTTTGTCTTCATTTTGCACCAAAATACAGCTCTTAAAAAGCTCTCTTTTGTGTGTGTGTGTGTGTGTGTGTGTGTCTGCTTATTCTGGGACAAAGTTAATTCTGTATAAAGAAGAACATGCGCTTTGTTTTTGCATTGTGTTTGTTTTATACCATTTTAAAACTGAGCCACATCAGAGAATACCCTGCCACCTTTCTTCTAAAATATACATCTCCATTTTCTTCCGCATTGGAAGTATACTGAGCTATAAATTGTCAGGCCTTCCAATGCTGTTAAGTCCTATTCCATATTTTTAATCATGGATCTGTTATTTTCTTTTCTAATGCCTTCTTGAAATTTTTAAAATTAAGGTTAAATGAGGTTTTCTTCCTTTGCCATTCAAAAGAGAGTCACACTTCTCCAGAGGGTTTATTTTTCCTCCCCGTTTGTTTCTTTCATTCATTATATGATGACACATTTCTCTTAAAAATTATTCAAGAAATTATTGATATTATGATTTTTATCAGAGGGCTTGTCATAATAAATGTATTGATAGTTGAATTTCATACCAGTACTGCTTCTTGCTTTTTTACTGCCTTAAAGATAGAGCTTTATATACATACTGTATTCTTTGTGGCTGTTTTGTTTTTGTTTTTTTTTTGGGAGAGGTTAATACCTCTTAAGTGCTTTTTTTCTCTGTTGTGTTCCTGCCTTTGGGTCCCTAAAATTCCATATGTGTAAACTGTAATCATTATTAATAAAGTGTCCGCATTTTGTTTCTCTTCATAAGCCATTCTTTTTAGCTAAGATTATTGATGTTATTTGTTGTGCTGTCAGACAACTTACTATAGTAATGGAAATGTTCTATAAGCTGTATAATACAGAAGCCACTAGTCACATATGGATCTCAAACACATGAAATATGGCTAGAGCAGATGAAAAGCCAGAATTTTCAAAGTATACATAGCTGAGTATGTCTGGAGATGTTTCTACATCTTCTAATCTATTCCACTGATCCTTGGGTCTGTTTCTTTGCCAGCACCATGCTCTTCTTATCACAGTGACTGTAGTACAGGAACCAAGATATATCATGTAAAGGTACAAGATCCCAATGATGAATTTAACTGTATTGTATACCTACTATACCATTAAACTTAATGGAAAAAAATTAAATAGCTACATAAAACTGGATATGGGGGTACATGCCTATAATCCCAGCACTCTGAGGCTGAGGCAGGAGGATCACAAATATGAGCTTAGCCTGGGCATCTGAATGCCTTAGACCGTTGTCTCAAAGAGTTAAAAGGCGGGGAGGTGGGAATACAATGCAGTGCATCAGCTCTGGCTGGATTCAATCCCCAGTTCTACCAAGAAAAAAAAGAAAAAGAAAAAGAAAAAGGCACATATAACTACCATATTGAACAGCACAGCCTCAAACAGTCCTTCCTTTAACTAATTGGTATTGATAAACAAGTTTCCTGCGAATGTTTTCATCCTGGTCTTTGTAAAATGTGTGGAGGCCCTCACTGTGGTATCATGAGTCATGGTAAAGAACTTATTTTACTGTTTTCTGACATTGGTCCTAATTCCATCTAATTTTGAAGAGGCAGCTCAGATTCTAGAGTCAAATTGCTGGGTTCCAATCCTGGGTCTACCTCTTATTGAGCTACACATATCTTGAGGAAGTCATTCTGCCTTCCTGTGACTCACTTTTCTCACAGAAAAAATACAGATAATTAGTACACTCATAGGGTTATGTAAGATTAAGTTAATATATGTAAAATGTTTAGAATATGGTTTGTGTTAAACAGAAATTCTCAACCTAGCAGGCTGCCCACTTACCATTTTCTCTTCTTTTCGGTCAGTGTAATAACCTTGAACAAACAGAAATACAGTAAATCATCTGTATCTCCAAGTAACTAAAGTCGCTATTTTTTTGTTGCTACAACCTGATATCATTAGTTTCTCTATATACAATAGAAAATTAGGAGCTTTTTCTGACACTGCATCTTACCTAAAACCTCCGAGAACCAGTACAGTTTGTGATTTACCATATCAAATACAAGCACAGTAATAAAGCTTGAGAGCCTCCTTGTTATTAGTGTTTTTCTTGTTTTGTTTGTAAAAGGAATGCTGTTGCTTTTGTTTGAAATAGTCTCCATTCACTCTGTCTTCTATAATACCATTCCAGATATAACAGATTTCTTCTTGCTTGCCTTTTTTGGATTTTTTTCACTCAGCCTGTATTCATAATATTAGAATTTTTGTTTTGTAACTAGTGCCCTCAGTTTATTTTTCTTTTGGTTTAATACGCTTTTAAATTCTAGCAAAGAACTTTTTATTTTCTCTAAGAATTTAGTTGATGGTGCTTCATATCCTTTGCGTTCACAGTTTATAAATGTAATTGGTGACCACCTGTCAGGAAGGTCAGTGTGCACAAACACAGCAGATAAATTTGGTCTATTTGTTATTTAACTTTTAGGTTAAACTCTCGTGGGCTTTTGTTGTTGTTGTTAAAAGAAGAAAAAGTGAATATAGTGATTGTTTAAAAGGTAACAAAACTAATGTTTAAGAAAGTTTTACAGAAAGTACAAACTTTTAGCGTAAGATAAAATTCACAGAAAATTACCAAATTCCCTAAAGATTGGTAACAGTTTTTCTAGGAAACATTTAAGGTGCTTTCTGTGATCAACAAAAATAGAAGCTTTTAGCTTTTCCCTTCAGCCTAGTTCTTATTTTAATACTACATTACATATGTATAACTTTCTCTGATTTAGCTCTCAAAACAAAGGAGATAAGTTTTTATATATGAAAGACAGATATTAAAATCTTCAATTTCCTAAGGGGAAGGAAAGGAGCCCAAATGAAACAATTTAAATTTAGCAAAAGAAAGACTACAGTCAGAGATTTGCACTGGGTGCTTTGAATCCAGCATTTATACTACCAGCCTACTCTTGAGTTCTTCCCACAAACAGAAGACAAGGATGAATATCTGGCTTTGATAAAATTCATGAAATTAGGCCAGTATTTCTATTATAAATAACTAAAATATTAAGAAAATGGAGCAGTTTGGGGAAATGAATAATAAATATTATACATCATTCCTACCATGTGATTTTTGCATTATGATTACATTGACTAGTATAATGTTATCTAAACCAAATTGAGAAAAATGTCATTATCTTCCTGGATATAATGTGCAGAACATATTAGTCAAACTGTACTTTTACACAGTGTTTTGCTACAGACTTTTCCTCCAGTTTTCTCATGCTTTATTAGAAAATCTGAATTGAGGTACATATGGCGTTTAAAATAGTTTAAGTTGATTGAACAGTTAAACTTTTTTGTACAAATGTTTTATACAAAGCAGATCAACAATTGAGGTTGACATTCTCAAAGTATGACAGAAACTTAAGGCTGGATCAGTTATTTAAAGTGATGTAAACTATTTTTCAATGCATATTTGTATATAATTTTTTAATACTTTCATCCACATTTGAAATTATGTAATATTTTGTTCACTGTTTTATGACATTTATTCTATTTATTTTGACATGGTTAATGCAGAAAATTCTCATACACCCTTAAATTTGATTAAAATATTTTTCTTGTTTAGAACAATAAATACATGTCAATATGGAAAGCAGTCTGTATTCTTTCTATGTGTATAACTGTAATACTTGTTATGATGATTATAAAATCCTTAAAGATTTGATATTGATGTGTACTTATCACTGAGATTAATGATTCTTAAAGTTTATGTATAAGGGCCTGGGGTGGGGCTGGTAGTACACCTGCTAGGTCTATTTGAGGTCTTGAGTTCAGTCCCTGACAGCACCAAATCAAAAATAAACAAAATTTTGCATTCATTTATTAGGAACAAAACACTTGTATAGTGTTTGGGAGGTATTTGGAAGGTAGTGATTCAATTCTTCAAGTTTCTTCCAGAAATAGATTTATAAGAAAATCAAGGAAGATGAAATTGATTCACATCTAGTTCCCTTTCTATATATGTTTCTTTTCTAATATAAACCTGTGTGGTAGGTAATATTTTAAATTGTTGCCCTAGGCTTAGTTCATTGATTTAGAATAAGTCTCTAACTCACAAATTTTCAAGTTGTGAATTTTCATAGATACCAATGGACCTTTTGCATTACGAACATTCCTAGTTGCAAACAAATGTAGCTCACATGTTTGCCAGACGTTGTCACAGTTGTGCTACTGTGTGCTTACTGTACAGTGAAATAGTGTGCAGTAATAGAGTGCTTCAGAGCACTAGGATGATTCAGAGCTTAGGAAGTCCGGAAGCAAGAAGAAAAGCAGTGATAATGTGGAGGGCACTGCTTGTACGTCCAAAGAAATGCTCATGGCAACAAAAGTGAAAATACAATGTAAGACTCAAGAACAAATCTGACTTACAAACATTCTACCAGAAAGGAACTTGTTTGTAAGTCGGGGACTTAATATTTATAAATTGTATTATTTTTTAAAAACACATTTTTGACTCATAAAGACATGCCTACTGATACTGTTCTTTGTGTTTTATTATAGAGCTGAACTAGAGAAACATGGTTATAAGATGGAGACTTCATAGCATCCAGAAGAAGTATTTAAGTACCCTCAGAACTGTGTACTAAATTCTAGGGCAAAGAACCCAGGATGGAATGTTTCTAAAAATATGTTTATTTCATTATCTGCTTGAATTTTTCTGTAACAAAAAAATAAATGTTTTGATGGAATTTTGGTTTGGTTCAGTATTGTTCTTTTACTATTTAATCATTAATTTTATATTCATGCTTTTACAGAACCTTATTCTATTGAGACAGTAAAGTTCTATGCTTTTTTTCCCATTAAGTTTATTGGTACATTTTAGGTATACATTTCAGTTACACTTATCATTGGGATCTTGTACCTTTACATGATGTATCTTGGTTTTTATTTTTACCCCATTCCGCAGCCCTCCATTCACTCCTTCCACCCTTCCCTATTTACAAAGACTTTTTTTCTTTTTTTTTGCTTTTCTCATACTTTTTCTATTTCCTTCTTACCTTTCCCCTACCCCTCCCACTTCTCCTACTCCTTTACACCTTTTCTTCTTATATAATATCAATTATAAATTTTTATTCTTATTTACAGTTTTAGTTTTTCATACCAGAGAAACTATTCAGTATTTAAATATGTATCATATTAATTTTGCTTCAAAGTATGGCCTCAGTGTGTGTCCACTTAGCAATAAATATCTCTAGTTTCTCATTCTTTATGGCTGAGTAGTACTCATATGTGTGTGTGTGTGTGTGTGTGTGTGTGTATCTTTAGCTAGTCTCCAGTTGATGGGCAATTAGGCTGTTTCAAAATTTTAACTATTACACACTGCTACTAAAAACATGGGTGAGCATATATCCCTGTGGTATGATTCTTTTAATTCTTTTGGGAAGATGCCCAGGAGAGGAATAGCTGGGTCAAATGGGACTTCTGATCCTAGTTGTTTGAGGTATCTCCATATTGATTTCCACACTGGTTGCACCAGTCTGCACTCCCACCAACAATGGAAAAGGGTTTCTTTCTCCCCACAACCCTGCCAACATTTGTTATTGGTTGATTTCTTGATAGCAGCCATTCTTTCTGGGGTGAAGTAGAATCTCAGTGTTGTTTTCATCTGCATGTCTAAAATGACCAGTGATGTAGAACATTTATTTTTTCATATGTTTATTTGCTGCTTTTCCTTCTTTGTGAAATGTCTGTTCATTTCAGATGCCCGTTTTTGAATCAGGTGTTTATATTTGGGAGATCTGATTTTTTTTTTAGTTATTTATATATTTTAGACAGTAGACCTTTATCTGAGGAACACCTGGTAAAATTTTTTTTCCCACATTGTAGGTTGTCTTAGCTCTGTTGGCGATTTCTCTTACAGTGCAGCTTTTTTAAAAAGATGAGATCCCAGTTGATTCTTTGTGCTGATTCCTGTGTTACTGAAGATTTGTTTATAAAGTGTTTTTCTATGCCAATATCATCAAGAGTTCTACCTAATTTATCTTCCAGCAAGTTTATTGTTTCTGTTTTAATATTTAGATCTTTAATCCACTTTGATTTTAGTTTAGTGCATCGTGAAAGATAGGGGTCTAGGTTTAATCTTTGGCAAGTCGAAAGTCATTTTTTCCAACACCATTTATTAAAGAGGCTCTCTTTTGTCCAGTGAGGATGTTTGGCTCCTTTTTCAAAGATGGGGTAGCTGAGTATGTCTGGAAGTGTTTCTTCATCTTCGAATCTATTCCACTGATCCTTGAGTCTGTTTCTTTGCCAGTACCATGCTGTTTTTATCACAGTGGCTTTAAAGTATACTTTCAGGTTGGGAATTGTGATACCCCCTGCCATGTCTCTGTTGCCTAGAATTTCTGTTGCTATTCTAGATCTCTTCTGGTTCCAAATGAAATTCTGTATTTTCTCTAGTTCTGTGAAATATACTGTTGTAGTTTCAATTGGGATTGCATTGAATGTGTATAGCAGTTTTGGAAGTAGGGCCATTTTCTCTATATTGGTTCTTCCTACTCAGGAACAAGGGATATCTTTGCATTTTCTTATATCGTCTTCAATCTCTTTTTTCAGAGTGTTATGTAGAGGTCTTTTGCTTACTTTGTTAGATTGATTCCTAGATATTTCTTTTTTTGTTTTGTTTTTGGATACTATTGTGAAAGGAATTTGTTTCCCTAATTTCACTCTTAGTGAGTCTGTTATTTGTGTACAAGAAGGCTATTGATTTTGGGGTGTTTACTTTGTATGCAGCTACTCTACTGAATCTATCAATTAAGTCTAGAAGTCTTTTGACAGACTTTTTTGGGTCTTCTACTTAAAATATCAAATTATTACCAAATAATGACAGTTTTACTTCTTCCTATCCTATCTTTATTGCTTTTATTTCTTTATCTTGTCTAATTGCTGTGGCTAATGTTTCCAGAACTATACTGAACAGGAGTGGTGATAGTGAACATCTTTATCTGGTTCCTGATTTTATTATTATTTTTGGTAATGTTCAGTGGGGCTCAGGTTAAACGATGTGGGCTTAAAATCTAATTACCAATTCAATACTTTTCTTGAGCTACAATACCTAAATGTTAGTCCACTTTTATGAAATACTTCATCACATTAAACCTTAATATCCTCTGTGTTTTGATAGCTTAGGCAACATTTAGTGACATTTACAAAGTGACCCTTCAAAACCTGTTTTTTTAGCTCATTAATTTATGTGAAAATAAAGTTTCATAACAATAATAATTGACCAAGAATGGTTAATGCACTTTGTATGCTGCGGCTAAAAGGCTCCACAGAAAAAAAGCCCATCCATGGGCAGCCCACTGCCAGTGGAGGCATTCCTAGCATGGAGCATCTCTCCAGGGTCCCAGGCTCCCACACACCTGAATCTTTGCATCCAGCAGCAGAGACCACGGAATGCAATGATCCCGAGGAATCCAAATGCTTTATGTGCATAGCATTGAGTGAAAATGTTTTTAGAGTTTGCACTGTGAGAAGGCAGCAGATGTGATCCAGGGACCTGTTGACCCAGTGCTGGGGCCTCCAGCATTGCTTAGGGTTCAACTTATGCTCCCTGATACCTGAGTCCTGTGTATATTACTCATTTTAAATTATAACTTGGCTCCTGAGCTATGAAGAATGATATTAGTGGTTTATAGAGTATTACTTGTTCTTAAAGACTGTTGAATGTTTGATCAGTTTTAAGGCTGTATCTTCTGTTAAAATTGGGAAACTGGGCTCAAAATACTTTTTCAACAAGTTCATAGCACTATCTATAGACAATGTACCACAACATTGTTTTAGTATAATAAAGTTTCTTCAAAGTGATTTATTTTGTCAGTCTTACTGCTAAGGGGGAGATTTGAGTTGTAAAGAATTATTTTTGATAATGCATAGAACTAGTATACTGAGGTTTTAAAGGAATATTTTCAAACTTAAATATATTAAGAATTATCACTACTGTTGAGTAATTGCAAGTGTAAAATTTGAGCATCAGTGCTGCAAACAAGTTCTGAAATGAAAGTTGAACAAAGCTATATTTTCTCAGAATAAATCTTGCTTACCTGACAGAAGTGCTAGATGATGAAATGGATTAAGAAACACAAAAGAACTTGGAAACTAAAAGCTCTATACATATAACTGATAACTTTTGTAAATACAGTGAAGCATGGGTAGCCATGTTAATGTTACAGGATGCTAAGAAATGTTCCATATTTTCTCCATCTTCTAGTCAGTACTTTTAAAAATTATATGATCATATCAGTGCCTTTCTTTTTATGTTTTGGTCTGTGCTGTGCTATATTTTTAACATATTCATATCCTTTTTATACTATGCTGATCAAGTTGAGAGGGGCCATATATCCCATCCTTTTGGTTCAGAGCTGACAATTTGCACTGCATTCTATGCCCACACATGATGCTGGGGCTTTTCCAGCTGCCATGCTGTCTACTATTGTACCCCACCTCTAAATCTTTTTTTTTTTTAATTTTTATTGAGTTTATTGGTACAATCTAGGTATACAGTACAATTACATTCATTATTGGGATCCTGTACCTTTACATCATAGGTCTTGATTCTCATTTTTTCCCCTTGTCCCTGCCCTCCCTTCACCCCCTCCTCCCTTCCCCATTTACAAACACTTAATTTCCATTTTTTCAGTTTCTCATATTTTTTTCCTCTCCCTTATTACCTTTCCCCCACCCTTCCCACTTTCCCTACACCTTTAACCCTTTACTTCCTATTTCACATTATTAATTATCTCATTAGGATCTTGTGTACTATTATAGTTATTCACACCAGAGAAACTATTTGGTATTTCAGTTAAAGAAATCTCTATATGAACATTAAAAATAGGGAATCCTAAAATAAAACTAAAAGGGAAAGTAAAAGAAAAGGCAATGATGTAAAATTAAAATAATCCTTAATTCTGAAGATGAAAATGGTCCTTGAACATATTTAAATTGCTTCTTGCTCTTGTAGTCTTATTCTATTTTTTCATTTTTTAGAGAATACTTTATTAGTTTCTGTAATCAAACCCACGTAGATATGACCTTACATATTTAATACAGCGCATTACCCCTGTAGAAATGGAAAAAAAAAATAACTTTCTAGACCAATATGGCTGTTAATTTCTGTACAATGCCAACTCAACACAGTAAATTGGGCTAACATTTTCCAAAGTCAACAATACAGTTAAAGTTTCCAAAAATTCAAATATATATACATTTATATTTATATAAAAAGACCAATAATAGTATGTTATGCATCAATATCAGCAATAGCTTTTCCAGGTTCTGCAGTCCTCTGAACAAAATTATATTCATTCAGCACACTCCATTAAAAAAACAAAAACAAACAGAAGAATATTACCCAGAAAACAGCAAAGTTCTGTTGCTGTTGTGGTACCTGGCACCATTTTTTTATTAGCATCTTCATCTGGAGAGAGAACATTCTAGAGTAACATCATTAAAAATAGCTCTCATAAAGCATGGTCACTACTACATATCATAAAGCAGGTACAAGATAGATGTTTTACATTCACAGAGGTATGATACAGTACTGTCCTACATCTATATTACTAGAATCAGTTTTGGTTTGAAATTTACTTTGCAAATAAGATTGCTACCCCTGCCTTTTTTCTGGGTTCCTGTCACATGGAGAATTGTTTTCCATCCTTTCAGTTTCAGTC